TGCCCTTTGATATGGCAAAGGGTGAATGTGTACAAACATGTGACTTTACTGCTCCCTGCATGTGGATTTTTTAGATGTGTTGTGGGCCTTTGTGATTGATACATGGAACTTTTGTCTCTGTGTCACTGTAAGGATTAGGGTTAGGTCCATAAGTCAGTGATGGATAATTGTGTGCATTTATCCCAAAGGAAATACTTATATAACGGTGAATGTGACTGGGAATGGATGGACTGTATTAGCTATGTGCATCTCTATAGTCACTATATGGTATATTTGTATGATGTAATACCTATATTTGTTGTTTATATCTCTGGCTGTTTATTTGACTATTTTTGTTTTGTAGATGTCTGAAAGGTGTGTTACTCACTCTGTGGTTTATCTGTGTCTTTGAGTATAATAATTATAGTTGTGATCATATTGTGTTTAATGACTCATGGGATATTGGGATATTGGCATGCTTCTGCATGCCGATGGTACAAGGAGTGGACATTTGGATTGGGTGCCAATCAAAAGATTGCTTTGTTGAGTGTTCTTGAGCTGCACTCATCCAGGCAAGTGGGGAGTATTCCATCACACTCATGACTTGTGCCTTGTAGATTTTATGGAGGTCTTATGGAGTCAAGAGATGAATTCCTTGCCTCTGACCAGCTCTTGTAAACATAACTCAAGACCAGTCCATTTAAGTTTTGGGTCAATAAAGACTCCCAAGAGGTGGACGGTAGGGAATTCAACATTAACTCACCTCTCCCTATCACCCCACCCCAACTCCCAATTCCATCAATTGCCATTGAATGCCAAGGGCATGTAATCATTTTTCTCACATTAATTTATGCAATGGACATGTTGTTGGCAGAACTGATATTTATTTCCTATCCTTAACTGCCTTTGAGAAAGGGTGGTTAGCCACCTTCTTGAACTGCGAAGGCCTATGTTGTGGAAGTACATCCACAGTGCTGTTAAGGAGGAGTTCCAGATTTTTGACTGAGCTACACTGAAGGAAAAATTATTTAAGTCCAAGTCAGGATAGTGTGTGGCTTTAAGAGGAACGTGCAGTTCAATGCACCTGTTGCCTTTTTTGAAGGTGTTGTCAAAGAAGTCTTGGGGGTCTGCTGCAGTCATGTTGTAGATGGTAGCCACTGCTACTGCTGTGTTGATGGTAGAGGAAGAGAAAGTTCAGGCTGATGGACTGGGCACTAATCAAGTGGGTTACTTTCTCCTGGGTGGGTTAAGTTCTTGATTGTTCTTGAGTGTCTTAGGTTCAGTGTGGACTTGTTGGGCCGAAGGGCCTGTTTCCACACTGTAGGGATTCTATGATTCTATTCTATGTAAAGTTATAGAGTCATACAGCATGGAAACAGACATTTCGGTCTAACTTGCCCGCACCAACCAGACATCCCAGTCTGACTTACACCTTTGCCAACATTTGGCCCATATCCCCCAAACACTTCCTATTCATATATCTACCCAGCTGCCTTTTAAATGTTGTAATTGTACCCGCCTCCACAACCTCCTCCAGTAGCTCAATCCATACATACACCACCCTCTGTGTGAAAAAGTTACCCTTCAGGTCCTTTTTCAATCTTTCCCCTTTCACCTTAAACCTATACTTTTTAATTTTGGACTCCCCACCGGGGGAAAAAGATCTTGGCTATTCACCCTAAACAAGTCTCACATGATTTTATAAACCTCTATAAGGTCACCCTTCAACCTCCGACGCTCCAGGGAAAATAGCCCCAGCCTATTCAGCCTCTCCCTATAGTTCAAACCCTCCAGTCCCAGCAACACCCTTCTAAATCTTTTCTGCACCCTCTCAAGTCTAACAACATCCTTCCTATAGAAGAACAACTACAATTGTATGCAGTATTCTAAAAGTGGCGTAACCAATGTCCTGTATAGCCGCAATATGACATCCCAATTCCTATACTCAATGCACTGACCAATGAAGGCATGCATGCAAAACGCCTTCTTCGCCACCCTGTCTACCTTTGACTCCACTTTCAAGGAATTATGAATCTGCATCCGTAGGTCCCTTTGTTCAGCAACATCTCCAGGTCCCTACCATTAATTGTACAAGTCCTGCCCTGATAGGCCTTATGAAAATAACAGCTCACATTTATCTAAATTAAACTCCTACTGCCACTCCTTGGCCCATTAGCCCATATGATCAAGGTCCCATTATACTCTGAGATAATCTTCTTCCCTGTCCCCTACACCACCTATTTTAGGGTCGTCTGCAAACTTACTAACCATACCTCCTATATTCACATCCAAATCATTTATTTAAATGAAGAAAAGCAATGGACCCAGCACTGATCCTTGCAGCAAACCGCTGGTCATAGTCTGAAAAGCAACCCTCTACTACCACCCTTCTACCTTCAAACCAATTTTTGTATCCAATTGGCTAGCTCCCTGTAGATCCCGTGTGATCTAACCTTGCTATCCAGTATACCATGCGGAACCTTGTTGAACACTTTGCCAAAGTCCATACAGATGTCTACCGTTCTACCTTCATCAATCTTCGTTGTCACTTCAAAAAACTCAATCAAGTTAGTGAGACACTATTTCCTATGCACAAAACTATGCTGACTATCCCTAATCAGTCCTTGTCTTTCCAAATGCATGTAAATCCTGTCCCTCAGAATTCCCTCCAACATCTTACTCACCACTGACGTAAGGCTCACCGGTCTATAGTTCCCTGGGTTTTCCTTACCACCTTTCCTAAATAATGGCACCACATTCACCAACCTCCAGTCTTCCAGTACCTCACCGGTGGCTGTCGATAATACAAATATCTCAGCAAGGGCCCAGCAATCTCTTCCCTAGCTTCCCACAAAGTTCTGGGAAACACCTGATCAGATCCTGGGGATTTATCTACCTTTATGTGTTTTAAGACCTCCAGCACTACCTCTTCTGTAATATGAACTACCTTCAAGATATCACTACTCATTTCACTGGATCATCTCCCAAGAATATCTGACGTACAACCATAATGTTATCCCTAACCAAAAATGCCACTCCTCCTCCTCTCCTGCCTCCCTTTCCATCCTTCCAATAGCATCTATACCCCGGAACATTAAGCTGCCACTCCCATCCATCCCTAAGCCACCTTTCTATAATAGCTATGATACCCCAGTCCCACGTTCCCAACCATGCCCTACTTTCATCAGCCTTACCTATCAGGCCACTAGCATTGAAGTCAAAGCAGTTTAATTTACCAGTCTTATCTTATTCTCTGTCTGCTCTTGTCTGCCTTGACTGTAGATCAAATTCTTGTTGGAGATGGTGATTGTCTGGCACTTGTGTGATTTGAATGTTACATATCACTTGTCAGCCCAAACATGAATATTGTTCAGCTCTTGATGCATTTGGACATGGACTGCTTCAGTATCTGAGAAGTCACAAATGTTGCGGAGTAGTACACAATCATCAGTTAACATCACTACCTATGATTGTGGAAGGTAATTGCTGAAGATTGTTGCACCTAGGGCACTACCCTGAGGGATTTTGCAGCTATGTCTTGTGATTGATATGATTGGTCTTGATCTGGATTCCTCTAGGATCATTCAGCACCTGACATTGTTAGCAAAAAAGCTGAACTCAAAACGTGAGGTGTTAGTGGCAGCACCAAGGTAGCACTGGACTACATGTGACATTGGGGAGCCACCAAGCCATCACCATCTTTGTGTTAGTTATGACTCCAAATGATGGGAGGTGATTGTCTAGTGTTATTATCACCAAACATTAATCCAGTGACCCAGATAATGGTCTGGGCATTCAAGTTTGAATCTGCCATTGTGGAATTTGAATTCCATAAAAATCTGGAAGTAAGAGTCTAAAGATGACCATGAAACTATTGCCAATTGTTGAGGGAACGAAACTGTCATCCTTACCTTCTCTCACCTGACTGTGACTCCAGAACCACAGCAATGTGTTTGACTCTTACTTGTTCTCTGGGCATTTAGGGATGGGCAATAAATAATGGCTTAGCCTGTGATGTTCACATCCTGTGAATAAAAATTTTGACCACTTTTCCACTGTTTTCAATATTACTCTTGTTCCCCAATGTCACATGTAGGCCAATGCTACCTTGGTGCTGCCACTCTTACCTCACTTTTTGAATTCAGTTTTTTTGCCGATGTTTGAAGGAAGAGTCTAATGAGATGAGGAGCTGAATGTTCCTAGCTGAATCCAGACCGAGATCTGTAAATGCTCCTAAATGGCATTATTATATTCTATTATTTTGCTGGTGTTTGAGATAGTCTAAAGGGCCAGTAACTGACTAAATTTAAATATAACACAAAGAGCTGGAAAACAAAAACAGAATTTGCTGGAGAAACCCCAGCAGCATTGCGGAGACAGTGAACGTTTCCGGTCCAGTGATCTTTTACAGAACCACAGGTTGTCAAAGATTAACCATATTGAACTCAAAATATCTCTCTCCACAGAAGCCACCAGACCTGCTGAGTTGCTCCAGTGCTTGCTGTTTTTTTTCAGACGTCCAACGTCCTCAGTATTTTGCTTCCGGATTGGATTTGCAGGCAGGACACAATTTTGATGTTGTATGTGTGCGTGTTTAGGGTCAGTCCCACTGTCCAATGTCCATTGTATGTTTTAGGTGGTTTGTGATTTGACTTATGCTGTTCAGTCACTCTGTAATGTTTATGTGTGCTCAAGGGCGGTGCAATATCTGCATGTTTGAGTGTGCTTGAGGGTGTGTCTGTTTATGCGTGTGCAATATTTGTGTGTTCAGTGAGTTGGTATCTCTGTAATGTCTGCATGCATGAGGGTGTGCGTGATTGAGCGCTGGGGGTTGCGTGTTCCGTTGAGATGCAGCACTACTGTCTGACTATCCTACTCAGTAGGTGTAGTCCCTCGCTTGAAGGTGTGCTTAGTTTGCCTATACTCTTGCTCCAATAACCAGGTGGTACTGCGCAGTGAAAGAGGGCGGGCAAAATCCCATCGTCACCAGGAAGTTGTTCGGATTTATCCCCTGAGTGAATCTATGATCCCTCCCTCTCTCCGCCCAGCGCTTCGTCCTCATCTCCTGAGTGCTTCCTTTCTGCTTGGCTCCCCCCACCCCACCCCAGGTTAAAGGGACGCCGTGAGTGTACAGACGGACTGGGGCTCTCTTTCTCTCTCTATGGCAGGACACGAATGGGACTGGTTTCAGCGAGAGGAGCTGATCGGTCACATCAGCGACATCCGAGTGCAGAACCTCCAGGGTAAGAGCCTGATGGAACTGGGATCTCAGCCTGGGAGCCGGGCGGAAAGTTTGCCAAAAAACAACTTTCTCTCTCTCTCTCTCTCTCTGTAAGTGAATCCATTCTTAGTGACTTGGAGTGAAAGCTGCTCTGCAGGTTATTTAACATCCTTGCCGGATAGGAATAGTTCAAACATGACCCTTCTCTTTTGACTTCAAGCAATCCTCTTTCCAAATTAATATTACTGCTGAGTTAAGATTCACTAAATACTTTCTAATTGATGGTGGGAGTAGTTACACAACGTGGGCAAACTTCAGGAATTTTTCGAATGGGGTCAAATTCCATTCCAGTTATAGTTTTATATTCATTTCTTACAGTTTTTGATGGTCTGTACGTTTGTGTCACTGTGATTGTTGCTCCATCTGTCTCTGTGTACGTGCCTGGGTCACCGTTGCAAAGACGTCCCCCTAATTTGAATCTACCAGCAGGACAGTACTGAAAACGTGCTATTCTGTCACTTGATTGAATCACTGCAAAGTTTAAAACATTCTGTAGATTCGCTTTGTTCCAGCCTAAGGACACACGAAGAAATGTTATCTAAAAGTACATCTGTTACCTGCACCTAAAACAGTGATTGGAATTGACTGCATTTCCTTGTGTTTAATCCTTTGCCTTTTTGCAGACCAACTAGGCTGCTTTTTGCAAGAATTATCTTCCCTGCTGCACCATATACTCTAACTGCTCTTGTCAGTGTCTGTCCTACACACTCTCCTCCCTGACCACCGCCCCTTGCCCTGTCACTTGCTGCCCTTCCTCTTATACATACACTGCTCACCCTCCTTACTCTTGTTATGTTTCCTTCCCTTGCCTGCCCTCTCTGACCCTGCCTCAGCTTGCCCCTTTTCTCTGTCTCCTACATTCACCTGTGACTTTCTTTTCCATCTGATTTCCTTTTCTCACTGTGTGTTTTTGTGCGTGTCTGTATGTCTTTCTAGCTGGCTGTTCCTCTCTTGTCCGTTCCTCACCCTAGTTGTTCTTTTGTCAAATAAATCCGATGCTGATATGGTCAATATTTCTCACAACTTCTCTATCTTGTTTTTCTAAACTTTAAATATTCCATTATGCACACCCTTCCTCCTCCTGTGTTGAAATCACTCGTTGCAGCACTGGCTGGGGGATGGTAATATAGTGGATATGTTACTGGTTCTGTATGCTTGAACTAATGATATGAAGACATGAGTTCAAATCCTACCATATGGCTGTTGGGAAGATTAAATTCAGTTAATTGAGTAAATCTGGAATAAAAACACTGCTGTTAGTGATGGTGACCATGAAACTACCATGTAAAAACAATCCATCTGGTTTCATTTAGGGTAAGAAATCTATTGTCCTTGCATGGTCTGCATGTGACTCTGCCAATGAGGTTCTGTTTAATAGCTTTCCAAAGCAGACTGCCAAGCCACTGCATTGTCAAGACTCACTAGCACCACATTCTCAAGGGCACTTTGTGATGGGCAAGAAATGTTTGCCTTGTCAGTGGTGTCAACATCCTACAAATGAGTAATTTAAAAAAACACACATCTGCTGTAACTCATTCTATCCCAGCATCTCAAAACCTTATTTTCCTTAGTCTTTCTTTTTCCCAGTATAAGCTTGAGGATGCCCATTCCTGATTTCATCTCCTCCTTTATGTTGTTGTTGCCTTATATTTTGAGCCATGGTAATATAAGGCTATAACAGAGAAATGGAATATGAAACTCTTAGCAGACAAGGGTTTCATTTTTTAAAAAAGTCAAGGTATTGAGAGAGAGGGAAAGGGATGCTAAAAGTATCTTTGTGTCTATGGCAGCAGCTTTCAAATCGGACACAGGTTTGAATTTTATTCAAATTGTTGTTGAGAAAGATGAAAACATTTGGAATAAATAGTAAACTCAGCTACTTGGAGATTGGTCATTCCATTTCAGATCAAGATGAGGAATTGGTGAGGAATGACTAAGGATGGAATGAAAATGGGAAGAGAAAGACATAGTGTTTTTAAAAGGCTATGTTTTCAATGCCTGTTTGAAGGGTGGGAGGAATGAAGGTTCCTTCAGCTAGGGGATGTGTTCTGAAAAAAAGTTAGAGTTGTAGCAAGATTACAGCATAAAAAGAGGTCTCCTGCCCCATCATATCAGTGCCATTTCACAGAGCCTCGCAGCTTAATCCCACTTGCCAGCATTTAAGTTCATAGCTGTGCAGGTTATGACTTTATAGAAAAATAGAAACTTTAAGGTTGGTGAAATAATGCCTCAGAGGCTGGTATTCTGTCACCTAGTCAATCTTTATTTATGCGTGGAGAGTCCTTGAAAGTAATCCAGCTCCCTCAGAGCAAGCTGTAAGTGAACAGAATGACTGACCCTCCTGTTCTTATCTGTTGCCCAGTCTTATCTGTCAGCCAGGGCTCCATGATGTTCAGTGAGCCTACCTGGCTGACCTCATTACAGTCGCTACATTCAACACCACTACCATCCCCCCCCCCACCCCCACCCCCAAGTCCAAGGACATTGGCCAGTTCTTTTTTTTTTGCAGCTCCTCCTGTGGTGTTTTAGCACCAGATTCCACCAACCCCGCCTCTGATGTGGGTGATGTGTAACGCACAGCAGTTCGCCTCTTGCACCTGGAGCGACTCGGAAGAATTTCATTCTGTTCTTCAGGTGGCAAAGGCATTGAGGGGGTGACACCTGACGTGTCCATCTCAGATACTGAGGTATCTTCAATGCTTGACGGAGAGAGAGAGAACCCACGTGTTCTGAAACAGTCAGAAAGGTTGTCGAGGATCTGGACACGTTTTGCTCCGACACCATTTGCGAGTTTGCAGCTTTCATACGGTCCACTTGCTTGTTCAGGGCCGTCACACCTACCCAAACTTTATACGGCACTGGACCTGACCATGCCTCTTGCCCATGCAGGGCCATTCCCGCAGTTACTACACCAAACTTCATCCCCTGAAGTAAACTGTCTTTCTCACTTAATGGAGTCTTGTGTCTGGCATTGGCATTGCTAATGCTGTTTCCATTCCACTGGGCCCCCTGTGAACTAATATTACCCTGATGCTATATGGGGAGGCATCATATGTCAATACCAAATCTCACTTGGGATCATAATGTGCCAACACCGTCAAGGATGATAGCTGTTTCTTCACTTCACTGAAAACTGTGGCTTGGCTACATGATCATTTCCAAGGTTGACCCTTTGTTAAGAGTTGATGCAAAGGTGCCAGAATGGAGGCCAGGTTATGTATGAACTTTCTGTAATAATTCACCAGCACAAGGAAAGACCTAAACTCCACTATAGACTTGGGAGCTGGGGCACCTTTGATCATCCTCACTGTATCTTCCAACGGGTGAAGGTGCTAAATTGGGAGAAGGCTAATTACAACAATATTAGGCAGGAACTGAAGAATGTAGGTTGGAGGCAGATGTTTGAGGGCAAATCAACATATAGTATGTGGGAGGCTTTCAAGTGTAAGTTGCTGGGAACTCAGGACTGGCATGTTCCTTTAAGGATGAAGGATAAGTATGGCAAGTTTAGGGAACCTTGGATAACGAGAGATATTGTGAGCCTAATCAAAAAGAAAAAGGAAGCATTTATCAAGGCTGGGAGGCTGGGAACACAAAGCAAGGGTGGAATACAAGGAAAGTCAAAAGAAACTTAAGCAAGGAGCCAGGAGGGCGAAAAGGGGTCATGAAAAGTCATTGGCCAACAGGATTAAGGAAAATCCTAAGGCTTTTTATACCTATATAAAGAGAAAGAGGGTAACCAGGCAGAAGGTTGGCCCACTCAAGGACAGGGAAGGGAATTTGTGTGAAGCCAGAGGAAATGGGTGAGGTATTAAACGAGTACTTTGTGTCAGTATTCACCATAGAGAAGGACTTGGTGGATGATGAGTCTGGAGAAGTGTGTATAGACAGTTTTGGGTCAAAAGGGAGGAGGTATTGGGGGTCTTGAAAAACATTAAGGTAGCCCAGAATACAGAGGCAAGAGAGGAAATTGCTGGGGCCTTGAGGGAAATCTTTGTATCCTCACCGTCTACAAGGGAGGTCCCAGAGGATTGGAGAATAGCCAATGTTGTTCCTTTGTTTAAGAAGGGTGGCAGGGATAATCCAGCTAAGTACAGGCTGGTGAACCTTACATCAGTGGTAGGGAAATTATTGGAGAGGCTTCTTCAAGACAGGATTTACTCCCACCTGGAAATCGCTGGGCGTATTAGCGAGAGGCAACATGATTTTATGAAGGGGAGGTCGTGAATCACTAACTTGGTTGAGTTTTTTGAGGAAGTGACGAAGATGATCGATGAGGGTAGGGCAGTGGATGTTGTCTACATGGACTTCATTAAGGCCTTTGACAAGGTTCCTCGTGGCAGGTGATACAGAAGGTAAAGTCGCACGGGGTCAGAGGTGAGCTTGCAAGATGGATAAAAAAACTAGCTCAGTCATAGAAGACAGAGGGTAGCAGTGGAAGGGAGTGTTTCTGAATGGAGGGCTGTGACTAGTGGTGTTCCTCAGGGATCAGTGTTGGGACCTTCTGCTGTTTGTAATATATATATAAATGATTTGGAAGAAAATGTAACTGGTCTGATTAGTAAGTTTGATGATTCAAAGATTGGTGGAATTGCGGATAGTGATGAGGACCATCGAAGGATACAGCAGGATATAGATCGGTTGGTGTCTCAGGCAGAGAGATGGCAGATGGAGTTTAATGCGGAAAATGTGAGGTAATGCATTTTGGTAGGTCTAATCCAGATGGAAAAGAGACAGTAAATGGCAGAACCCTTAAAGAGTACTGATAGAAAGAAGGATCTGGGTGTACAGGTGTACAGGTACACAGGTCACTGAAAGTGGCAACGCAGGTGGAAAAGGTAGTCAATAAGGCTTATGGCAGGCTTGCCTTCATCGGCCGGGGCATTGAGTTTAAAAATTGGCAGGTAATGCTGCAGCTTTATAGAACCTTAGTTAGGACGCATTTGGAATATTGTGTTCAAT